TTGAGGCAAATGTATGAATTAAGGACTATTGTCTGAACTATAGACTGTTGTCTAGACCTGAATTTTGAAATGTTGCATCTGAACTGTTAGTTAGGTAAGATGAAGTAAATTTACAATTTGATGCTAAAATGCGAAGTTTGCCATCATTGACCAATAAAATTCAATATGATGGACCTTTTTAGATGGAGGTAGTATTATATATTAACTTTACGTACATGTATTCCAATTGTAAAACATGTATAGTAGTTTTTAAAATCTCAATGTGAATACTTTTTCTCCAATAATTTTAAAAATAAAATGAAGATTATGGAAATTTTGTCGTGTTCGATTAGAATTCGATGACATTCTACACATTATTTATGTAAAATTTGATCAATACTCAAACGGGCTCATGGATTAGGGTTATGTTTGGCATTTCGAAATGTAGGTGCAGGAAAATGTCCGAATTAAGGACTATTGTCTGAACTATAGACTGTTGTCTAGACCTGAATTCTGAATTGTTAGTTACGTTAGATGAGGTAAATATGTTTGGCAAAAAGAGTTAAAAAATGTTTGGATAATATGAACTGATCAAATCAGATCATACAGATTGGACCAGATTCGATCAGAATAGACAAATCAAACAAAAAATTAGTCCAATTAAAAATGATTTTAATGAAGTCCTTCCTAAAATTTAGAACTCCGTATATATTAGATTAGTATTGAATAATCTTGAAAGTATTCACGAGTAAAATTTGGAGTTAATTAGCTTACTATGGAGCTATATAATCACCATACAAGCAGGAGAAAGATACACATACAAAATTAAATTATAAGCTTATAATGGGGTCAATCATTCATATATTAAAAGTATTCACGAGTAAATTTTATTTGTCATCAAAATTTGAGATGATGGATTAATTTTGTACTAAAATGCAATAAAGGATTTTAAAATTTAAACAGGAAACCTGAAAACCTAATTCCTTGATAACTATCTAACTGAGAAAAAAAATCTCAAAAGCATTTCAAAATTATAAATATGAATTTTATTTTATTCATCTATAAGTGTATGCAATGAGTTCATTTAACTCTATAAGTCAATATTTCAAAATAAAGATAAGATGAATTTAATAGCTTTAAGCCACCAAATTCTCAATGAGATTGTTGAGCAATAATAGAATTGCATAGCCTATGGTATTCATTTTCTGATTTTAAACTGCACTCATACAACTTTAATAATATCACTATATTTGAAAACTAATATTTTCATATGTTATCATATGGAGCACGCTATATATAAGTCTACAATAGAGAAAACAAGTATACATGTATATCTATCCGAGTAGCATATCAAATATAAAGACATTCTTCACACCCAATCATCTTAATTAGAAATATAGAATGTAATATCATATTTTAATCAAAAAAATATTAAAACATGTATTACTGACCTCCAAATCTGGAATGCACGGACATGTATTGTAACACAAACCTTTAATGTTTTCTTAGTATGAATCCAAGTATCTACTTTCTCAAAAAACAACGTGCACATGTTGTAGAATTATTGGAAAATACCGCATCCGGCCTAATAGATTTTAGTGTCTCTTGAAGATATAATTGATGTATGATAAAACAATAATATTATAACCTGAACTAATGTATTTAAAGTAATTCTTTCATTTACGTATTGTGGACATGAAAGCCAGAAACATAAAAGCCTTATACCGGACATAATTGAAAATCCACAACACCTTGAATCTTCTTGAAGATATGCATTCTGTGTGCAATGACGAACCCTTAGAAGTTGACACCGTTCCATTAAATAAGGGTGTGAAGATTCTATTTTGATTTTCGTATAAGAATCTAAAAGCAAAATGAACAATTTGAAACTAAAGTGAAATAGAACAAAAAAATACTCAATAAGATGGAAGGATATAGTAAGTAGAGTGAAATAAAAGAATAAGTACTTTGTAATAATGTAGAAAGTAAAATGGTAGGATGGTATAATCGTATGGCTAGAAAAAACCCTTTCAAAACTACACCATTTTAAGATAAATAAAGTACAAAAATGAATTTTTAGTTATGAAAAAAAACAGTAAGGCACGGATGAAATTTAATGCATAAATATAGGAATGGAACATTTTCTTTTGATTCATATAAAAATAGATTAATTTCAATTGTATGCAACTGATAGTTATTAAAAATATGTTTTTTAGTGGAAAATATAAATTGGAATCATGTTTAGATAATAAAGTTCAAAAATAAGGCACACTCAATAAAATAGAATATGCATTTTAAACAATGTCATAATCGACTAAATGAGTGCTTTTCCGTTAATAAAACTAAACAACAAAATCATTTTATCCCGTGCACGGCACGGGTAAAGATACTAGTTTTATACATAACAAACTTCCGAGAATTAAATCAAGGTTTTGTCTTCTTCAACTGAACTCTACCATGCACTCCATGCTTATGCATCGTTTTTTCGCCAGAATCTTTCAAGAACGAAAATGATTCTCTCCTTGGAGACCATTGTTACGGGCAAATTTGTCTTACGTAAACAACAAACATTTGTTGGGCTTGATTTTATGGTCCTTCCTTAGGCTTCGTCTTCTTCCAAGATACACAAACAACACATACCTAGACGAATAGTTTAAAGAAGGGAAAACTGTCAAATTTGATCCTCGTACCATCGCAAAAAAGTCAGTTGTGTCATCGTACTTAAAAAAACAATCAAGTCCCCGAACTTAGTAAAAATGTTCAATTGAGTTCATTTGGAGGTTACTTATCATGTCAGCGGGTCACCCGCTGACGTGGCGCATACGTGACGGTCCACGTGTGCGCCGCGTCATTAGCAAATGACCGACTGTACTTCCACATGTGTGCTACGCCAGAAAAGTCACTGCTGATTGGACGGTCACATATGTGCCACGTCAGCGGGTGACGTGCTGACATGACAAGTAACCTCCAAATGAACTCAATTGAACAATTTTACTAATTAAGTTTGGGGACTTGATTGACTTTTTTATAATTACAAGGATCTAATTGATTTTTTCGTGATAGTGCGAGAACCAAATTGACAATTGAAGAATTTTAGTAGAGTTTTTGAAAGACAAGAGCATTTTTTTGGAAGTTAGAGAATAAACATGATAAATTATTATAGGAGAATAATTTGTAATCTCCAAGAGAATGCGCTGGAAAAGTTAAGCACACGACTTATTAAGAGCGGCCCTATTTGATAATCCAATTTCAACTTACCAATCTTTGGATTTCTTATGATTCATGATTTCCTACGCTAAATTATGTAATAACGGAAATGAGTAAGTTTGAATTATTTTTCTTGCTAAATTAACTAAAGTTGTATGCTTTGGCAAAAGGTTTGGAGTTTGGACTTTGGAGTGGATCCATGCCTATGGATTATATGATAAAAAGTTTGGGTCCATGCCTAGATCGACCAACCACGATTATGGGTTGGGGTTCATCTTGTATAGGATAATATGCTTTGCAAAGAGGTTCACCTCACTTTTACACCAATACCGATTAGACGAACACAAGCAAACAAGAGCACTATAAGCAAAAGTTAGAGTATTCGAGTGAAAGTTGAGAAGTACATCTCATGCTCTAATTTACTCCTAGAAGCAGTTTTTTAGAAGCTTAGAAAGACTCACTTCTGAAAATTGATACTAATTCTACTTTAAAAAAGATGCAAAAGCAAAATCAATTTCAACCACCCCATAGAGGCATAGACTTAGGATGTTTTTACTTGGACTGTAATTTGCTGGTCTGGTCTGGTCTGGTCTGAACTGGTCTGGTCTGGTAATGTCTGGTTTCTTTGTATTTTTATAACTATCCAAGTCTGGTCTGGTCTGAACTGGTCTGGTCTGGTCTGGTCTGGTCTGGTCTGGTCTGGTCTGGGGCAAATTACAGTCCAAGTAAAAACATCCTTAGTGATGGACCCGGGCCGGGTCAAGGCCCGGTCGGGCCTCGAGTCCTATAATGGTAGGCCCGGGACCGGCCCGGTCAATGACCGGTTCCGGTTCGGGCCGGGCCACCCGCCCGGGTCACGGGTCGGGCCACCCGCCGGGACGGGCCGGACCAGTACATTTTTTTTTATTTATTAATTATATATTATACAAATTGGTATTAAAAACAAAGTTCAAGTGCATTTATTTGAAATAAGAACTACATTTGAGAATTGAGAAAAAAATAACAATACGAAATACATTTTGTAATGAATATCAATTGGGATTTCCGCCACCGTTGGTTGTTGTTTTCCCTTTGTCACAGGACTTCATATGTTTTATTGGCATCCCGTATCCGTATGAACGCCCCAAGCAACAGTCTTTCTTGCACCACCTGCAAGTTGCCCACCACAGTCCGGTCTTCGGGTCCTTCCACTTGTCAAAATTGTTTTGCATAAGGGAAGATGTACTTTCCATATTTAAAATGGTATATGTATAAGTAGGAATGTAGGATAATAAGAGAAGATGAAGATGGAGAAGAGTTTGAGAAGAATTAGAGAAGAGGTGTAGAAAAATGTTAGAAAATAGATGTATTTATAGATGTTTTTGAACCCCACTCCCCACACCACCACCCCCGGGACCCCCCCTGCCCCCCACCCATAGCCCCAACGGCTATATAGCCGTTTGGGAGGTTTGAATTAATTTTTTTTTAAGTTATACACATATTGTAAAATAAATTAATTAATTTAATGAATTAAGTAAAACTAAAACTATTTGTACTTAGAAAAGTGGTTTGATTTATAATTTACAAATGTTACAAAATAGGTGTATAAGTATTTAAACAAATTACATATTGTAAATGTATTTTAAATTTAAAAATCGGCTTTATATTTTAGAAAAATAATTTTAATTCGTTAGATTGTAACCAATTAATTAATTTGAGAAGTGCTACATATGAAAAAGTGAACACATATTTATTTGAAATATGAAGAACAAGTTTACAAATTAATTTGAAGTACAACTACAAATTTAGAATTTTGAAATATGAAGTACAAGTTTACAATTTTGAAATATGAAGTACAAGTATAAATAAATTTGACAAGTGCTATAAAATACATTTTGTAATAAATTCTAAAATACTAATCAATCGGAATCTCCGGCATAGGTAGAGCCACCATCGGTTGTTGAGTCATCCATAAAATCTTGGGAGGGGGTGATGCTCAATTTTTGAGTTCTACGTGCGGCCTTCAACCAATCGTGGTAGCATATAAGCAGTGGCGGAACCAGCCCAGAGACTTTGGAGGGGCACATAAATCATACATAACATATATCATCAATATAGTAATAAATAAAATATTAAAATCTAAATAAAATAACTAGTTAAGTAATATCTTAATTTTGATTAGCAACTCATCCGTCAAATGAAAAAGAATAAATGGGGGGACCTTTGTCTTTGAGTTGCATACTCTGAATTCTGAAATACTCCCTCCGCCCCCCTTATATTATCCCGTTTTAGCTTTTCGGGATATCTCACTAAAATTCTCGCATACCATATTTGGTAAAATTTGTGTTGCTCTAAATCATTCTTACTTTATTATTTCTTTATCAATTAATATCAACCATACAACCCCACTTTTCTTAATAATCATGTCACTCTCTTCCGTCCCAATATAAAAGGGACGGAGGTAGTACTATACTTCATTGGAATCAGTATATAATATCGCTTCATCCAAATTCTTTGTCAAACAACCTAAAAAATACTATAATTAAAATAATACGTTTATGATTGTAAAAACTAAAAATAGCATATAAGAAACTAAATCAATAAACCCACAATTACAATACAATTTATAAATTTAGATTATTAATGAATAAAGTCAATATTCATCCAAAAAAATTTGAATAAAGTCAATAAACTCTAGACGGCGGGTCAGACGACAGCTTACATAATTGCTTCCTTTAGTTCCTTGATAATATTTGTTGGCCGTTGATGGAGTGACTTGTTGCGTCACTTGCTTGGCTGGGCAAAAGGCCAAAAGTTACAAGAAGGCAAGAGGTTACGTGTGTGGGTTGTGGCCCTAGGCACCTAGGCCATTTTTAAACCTTGAAATGGGTTACTGGTGATTGGGATGCAGGGGCTGAATTTGGGTATATTACATATTTATATATTATACTATGTATATAATACAAGAAAATTGAAAAGACTGCAGGGGCACAAGCACCCCCAAGCCATAGTATAGTTCCGCCCCTGCATATAAGCGTCTCAAGAGACTCCGCACTCAATCTCGATCTAGATGCCGTTAGGACGTTGCCGGCCGAACTGAATTCTTGTTCCACAGCAACTGTTGAAACCGGCATTGATAGTACTTGCTTAGCCATCCGTGCTAAAATCGGGAACGTTCTTTCTTTTGACTTCCACCAGTCTAGAACGTCAAAGTCATCATTTTCTTCAAAATCAACTTCATATGTTAAATACAAAGTAATCTCATTCAATGCGCTTTGTTCAGTGACGTGAGTTGTTTTAGTTTTTTTCATAAGATTGCCAAATGCAGATTTAAAAATCGATTTTCCTTTAGATGAAGATGTTCGTGACGGGGGAGGGGGAGCGTTGCTATATTGTGCACGAAACTCATTAAATAAGGCATAAAATAAAGTACTAACCTCGTTGTATTCCGTTTTCGGATATATGGGGTTATCGTCATACATTGGAAATTCACCGAAAAAGGCAAGATAATAGAAGTTGAAACAATCTTCCAAATTAGCAAGTCTATAACGAGGATCGAGAATAAATGCAATACCATAAATATGGGGAATATGCGCATAATATTTTAAAAACTTTTCCTTCATATGATCACAAAAATAATGAACGAAAACGGCATTCTGAAATTCTTTAAAAGCATCGGCGAGATTAACAGCTTGTGGAATAAATTGGTTTGCGGTAGGTTTATAAACATGACTAAAAGTTTCAGTAGCATTAAAAAAATATATCAAAACATTACAAATTTTTTCGCAAGTGTCGATCTCAGCCGCGTTTATAATATAGTTATCATGTTCTTTTAAAAAAGCAGGAAAATGTTCTTTATATCTAAGAACAACTTTAAGTAATTTATAAGTACTATTCCAACGAATACTCAAATCTTTAGGAAAAGCAACATATCTCACACCTCTTTCAGTCAAATAACTTTGCCATTTTAATCTAAGTTGACCATTACCCCAAATACGTCTAATCCCCCCCTTTATTACCTCCATGGAATCTCCTAACGCTTTTAAACCGTCTTGCACACATAAATTTATAACATGACATGCACAGCGTTGATGAAAAAATCTACCCATCAAAGAATTGGCACCACACAACTCACGCAATCTAGGTATAGCAGCAGTATTATTAGTAGCATTATCGAAACCAATAGCAAACACCTTATCAATCAAATTATACTCAATTAAAATACGCTCAATCAAAATATAAATATGTTCAGCGGTGTGACGATCATTAAATTCGCGAAAAGCAAGAACACGTTTATGCATATTCCAATCCTCATCAATATAATGTGCAGTCAGACCCAAATAATATAAATGATGAAAATCATCCTCCCATATGTCAGAACAAATAGTAACACGCCCATCAAAGTTTGCAAAAAAATTTTGTAACCTTTCCTTTTCCGCATTATAAAGCCTTATTATTTCTTTCTTAATAGTTTTGCGACTATAATTTCTAAATTGAGGATTTAAACTACCTTGTGCATAATCTCTTAAAGCAAGACTTTCAGAAAACAAATAAGGCAAATTTTCTTCACAAATTAAGTTAGCCATACCAGTCAAATTTTGTGCATCATTGTAGGAGAAATTACCAAAAGGTTGAGAATTCGCAAACCTCGATATTTGAGTTTGCTTCCCCGTTCCGCCGCCTAATTTTGCACACTCCACGGGGTGCTTTGCCTTAAGATGCCTTTCGGCGGATCCGTATCCGCCGGAGGTTCCCAAACTATAATTGTTGTTGCACCACTTGCAAGTTGCGTGCCAATAGCCGGTTTGTGGGTCCTTCCATTTATCAAAATTATTTTTCAATAGTTCAGACTTACTTTTTTTTATTACCGGTGGCGGTTTGGGATGAGGCAGGCGCGTCGGCGTCGTGGCTGCCGGCACCCTCCTCCTCGGCCGTCTCCGGTTCCAATTCCTCCGCATCTTCATCCTCAAGCTCCTCTTCGTCAATGGTCGTCGGCATTTGTTGTTGTTGTAGAAAGCGGTTATTATGTCGGGCCAATTCTTGTTGGAGTTGTTCTTCGGACATCGCATCTCCATCTCGCCTTTGGTAACCCATTTCAAAATCATCTCGGCTTTGAGATGAAGAACCGGCAAGTTCTTTACCTTTGCGGGATTTCTTCCTCCCAATCTCGTTCCTCGGATTGCGTTGGAGGTTACCCAAATCAACCGAATATCTACCCCCTTCCATGTTAAAAATGTAACAAATATTAATTGACAACCAATATAATAATGGATACAAAACTAATGCAACTAATTAAAACTATTTTAATTAATACTTCAAACTAATTTAGTGCAAAGTAGAATTAATGTGTGACTTTAAAATTAAAATTATACCAACTTTTGAAGTACTTTAATTTAGTAAAAACTACTTAAATAAAATGTGAAGTACTTTAATTAAATGATTGAACTACTATTTCTTCCTACAAATATAAATTGAAAATAAGAAAATGTGACTTTAACTATAATGAATTAATGACAATTAACTAGTTTATTGAAGTAGAGTTGTTTTAACAATTAATGAGAATACTAATGAAGTAAATAACTAGTATAATGAAAAATGTAACAACAATGCTAATTAACTAATTAACTAGTATAATGACAAATGTAACAACAATGGTAGTAAACTAATTAACTAGTATAATGAAAAATGTAACAATAATGGTAATGAACTAATTAACTATTATAATGATAAATGTAACAAGAATGCTAATTAGCTAGTACAAATGTACAATACTAGTTATATTAAGTAATATAATATTTATAGTATATAATATATAAGTATACTACTATAAGATGAGTAATACACTTATATTTTATACTTTAATATATAAAGTATATATTAAGTAGATGTAGAATGTATGTATTAAGTGGATATAATAATTGTATAAGAATTAAATATTAGAGTATAATGGAGAATTGGAGATTGGAAAATAAGAAAATAAGTATATAAAAAATAGATATTATAAAGTATATAAAAGTAGATATTATAAAATAAGTATATATAAAATAGAAATTATTAAGTAGAGAAGTAGATATTATTATGTATTAAGTATATAGTAATAGTTTATAAAGTATATTTAATACTTTATTATATAAAGTATATATTAAGTAGATGTAGTATGTATGTATGTATTAAGAAATATAAGTAGAGATTAAGTAGATAAGAAATATATGTAATATAGTATATGTATTTATAAGTAGATAATTAATATATAAATAGATATAATAATTGTATAAATATTAAATAGTAAAATAAAATATAAAGGAGAATAAGAGAATTTGAGAAGATGAATATGGAGAATTGGAGATGAGTAGAGAGTAGGATTTAGGTAGAGTTGGAGAAGAGGTGTGAAAAAATGTTTAAAATTAGGAGTATTTATAGGTTTTTTTTAACCCCCACCCCCCCACCCCCCCCACCCCCCACCCCACCCCACCCCCAAACACCCCGGACCCCCCTGGTACCCCCCCAACGGCTATATAGCCGTTTGGGAAGTGGGGGTTGAGCCAAAAGGGTTTTTTCAAATTAAAAAGAATTTTTTTTTTAAATCTGACCGTTAGGCCCGGGCCCGGGCCGGGCCTCCAAAAACATGACCCGAGCCCAGACCCGCTAACCCAACCGGTTCGGTGCCCGAACCGGACCCGAGAACCGGGCCGGTTCCGGGCCCACACAGTGACGGGCCGGGCCGGTCCCGGGCCGGGCGGCCCGAACCGGGTCCAAGCCTACATAGACTACGTACAACAGACCAGAAATTTAGCCCAATTAACTTGAATTAATGTCTTACGGACAACCAAAGAACTAAAGTCAATCATTTCATTGGTTACCTTGTTATAAAAAGAATTGAATTCAACTCCGGCAACATTGGCTACATTATTAAAAGCACACCTTACTTCTACACACACCAATGGTTCGAATTAACAAGGGAAAGGATTTAGATATTTAGGATAGGATGACCCAATGCAAAACTGGAAACTAGGGTTGCGCAAATCGGTTTACGGTTCAGTTTTTATCGGGTTCGATTCAGTTTCAAGTTGTTTGGTTCGGTTTCAAGTTGTTCGATTTGACGAAAAATGTATTTCGGTTTGGTTTCAATTCGGCTTGATGTTCGGTTTATAAAGTTAAAAAAATAATGTATAATTTCATATTTTTAAGTCAACATTTACTAATTTGAAATGGTTTATTTTAGTTTAAATCCAAACCAAATAAACTAAAACAAAAAAATAAAATCAAAACAGAGTTTTTTGGTGTTGTGTCTAAAATAGCAATGGTGTACAAGCCATGTGCCAACATAAATAAAATATAAGTAGTGATTTACATGTGTACAATGAGCAAATTAGCAATGATTTAAATGGTTAATAGAAGTGAGTGGGGGCTTAGGAGTTTGGGCAGTTTGATTTCACTCCAAATCACCAAGTTACTAAACCTACAACCTCCCTAATGTATATATATATAATGGACAAACAAATTGTCGTATTTCACTGATACAACCAAACTTACAATCTCCATAATGCACACATAGTCACATATAAGAGACAAACATTCGGTTTGAACAAATGTTTACCAAACAGTTTACTTAAGTAACCCCCAACCAAACCAAATCAAACCACCAATTTTAATAATATATGAATGTTTTTTTGAGTTTCTTTGGTTCAGTTCGATTTAATACGGTTTGAAAGAAATAGTACCAAACTCAAACCAAATTGCATACGGTTTGGTTTGGTACGATTCAGTTCGGTTAAAATTCAAACTCAAACTCAAACCAAGTTGCAAACCATTATGCCCACCCCTACCAGAAACCAACCACTCAAATCGGAAATTCAAAGCCATACCCATTGACCCATTGTATTCAGCTCTAAACAGCTCCTAACTAGTTAAAAAGCCCCACTGTACCAATAGTGCTAAAATTCTTGAAATGTACACATTTTGTACTCCCGTGCTTGAACAAACGGCACCAAAGGCATTTTGTGGAGATAAGAAAACAGTATGGTACAAAAAAATGAAAGGTGAGGAAGAGTATGAAAGAAGGTAAATATTATGGATTTATGGCTAAAGTTCTCAAAAAAGGAAATGGATATAATAAAAAGTAATCAAGCACTTCAATAAAAGAGAAGAAAAGTCTGCATATCAAGAACCGAGAGCGTATAAACTAAGAAAATACACCATGTCAGATTAATAGGGATATAATTAAAAATTCATCACAATTATTTGCGGACTTGTATCTTATTTGTGTTCGGAAAATAAGGCATACTCCGGCCTCCAGGCGTATTTTTTTAAACTAGTCAGAAATCAGCCCTAGCACAATGTGACTTCACTCTAAAGTACTACCCTATTGTCAATTTGAAGCAGGTACATAGGGCATCCTTTCAATTTCAAGTCAATACGAACAAGATACTAACCTATTGTCTTATGGGCTTAAATGAACCAGTCATTATTGCCCCTATAATAGATATATGGGGTTGGGCCAAACAGGAAAACAGAACACATATAGTAAAGTAGATCAATTAAGAAATAATTACATAAATGTGACCAAAATAAAGATGGTTTACAAAAATATGATTCATTACTAGAGTAGTAATGAAATCATAGTAATTCATGTTCAAGTTTTGAACTTTAGTTACTACAGCATTACGTTGTAGTAATGAATAGTCATATTTATGTAAATAAGTTTTATTTTAGTAATATTCTCGTAAAAACCTCGATTTTAATCAATCATACGAAGTACTCCTATCAATTTACAAAATAGAGCAAGGAGATCTAAATTAAGCAAATCACGACAAGTGTGACACATAAATCAATAATTAATATTATTACTATAGCTTCCTCTGGAAGAGCACTGCCTTTGAAACAAGCATGAGCAAAAAAGATTATATGAATAACAAACCACCAAGGCAACAATATAAAAACATTTTTTCAAAAACCATAACAAAGGTGTTGCCACAAAAGTCTAATACCATACCGATGTTAATGGCAGTCAAGAAAATACTATTGAAACAAAACATTCTTACCAAATGATATGCTCACAACGTAGTCACCAAAATTCAGTTTTTGTAGCTGTTTCAGCACATCTATCTCAGGAATGAAAATTCAAGCACTTTAAACTAATAATTCAATGGTGTCTAGAGATTGAAAGGTGTAATTCAACCTCTTAATCTTCATCCTCCGCCTCATTTTCAGCAATGTTGAAGTATCTCAATTCATACACATTTTTATCCTTGTTCGAGGATATAACACGCAGCCAATCTCGCACACTGTTCTTCTTCAGATACTTCTTTGTTAAGTATTTCAAATACCTGTGCAACATTATCAAAAATCAATTAATCAATACAAGAAAAGTAAAAAATTATGTAATGGAATACGGAGTAGGAAACATTGTAGGAATAGGAAATCTGAAAAATTCTTTACATCCAGGGCATGTTTGGTTAGGGAATTTTAGAGGTACAGATGAGTAGGATTATTTTATGATATACAGGTTTACCTTTACTTATGTCTTATGCTTAATGAGTGTTCAAATTTGCCTGTTTTGTTGGAAAGTTGTTTACTTTAGAGAGTAAATGAAAAAGGCTTGGCAGGTTTGGCCGTACAAGTTGGTAGTGTTTAAGAGAAAAGTGATTCTTTAAAGCACAAAGTTATTTGGTGAAAAAGAACTTTTGCCTTTACAAAAAAGGGAAAGTTGTCAAATAGGTCCCTGTACTATTGACAAAAAGTCAATTGAGTCCTCGTACTTATTTGTGAATCAATTTAGTCCACAAAGTATTAAAAAAGACTCAATTAGGCCATTTAGCCGGTTGGATACAAATGTTGCCGGTAATAGGTGACGTGGACACCCATGTGGCAATGATTCCGATTTTTCATTCATTACTTTTTTCTTTTTCTTTTACTTTTTCTCTTTCTTTATTCTTTCCCTGACTTCTTCTTCCCATCCTTGGAGTTGCAGCGACCAGTCTATTTATTTCTTTTCTTCTTCTTCTTCCCGTGCCCTTTCTTTCCCCTTCCCCAATTTCTTTCTTTTCCACTTTCTTTTCTTTCTTTTTTCCAGTCTTCCCAATTATCTTTCTTTGGATGGGCGGCGGCGACGGATGGAGATATTGTGGCCAACAGTCGGCGGTTGAGGAAGACATGAGAGACCAGCGGCGTACGGCAGCAGTTAGGTAAGTGTTGGTTGTGGACGATGAGCGGAAGATAGAAGAAATCACAGGCGAAGAGCGACACACAACATTGGTTCGCGAAATTCAGATCTACCGGCTAATCGGCAGTTAGAAAATTTGAAGTTTTGTAAACGACGGCTGACCGCCAGCGGCGGGTGAGGAAGACTTGAGCAGCGATGGTTGATGTTCTTTTGTAGAAAGAATTAGAATAAGAAAAGAAAGAGAGAATGAAAGAAACAACAAAATAAAGAAAGGGAAAAAACGCAGAAGTAAGTGCGGGTAAAGAACAGGGAAGAAGAAGCATGAGGGGAGAATAAAGAGAGAGAAGAGGAAGAAAGAAAATAAAATGAAAAAGAGGGGAAAAAATCCATGTGTACTGCCACTGTACACAGTTTACTTGTTAACCGGATCACAACCGGTTAAATGGAATAATTGAATGTTTTTTAACACTTCAGGGACTTGGTTGATTTCCAAATAAGTATGAGGACTTAATTGATTTTTTGACAATAGTACGAGGATCTATGTGCAGTTTTATCATTTTATGCCTCCTACTCTTTACTTACAAATGCCGAATTAAGCCTGCTTGAAAACCCATTTTGAACTTTAAAAAGAAAAATTATAAATCACTTTTTAAAACAAAGGAGGTGCACCCTAACTGCTAAGGCATTTGGTAGCAATGAATAATTTATGAATAGTTATGTTAAAGAGGTTGATGTACTTTTAACTTTAATTTTTTTAACTACCTAATGATCAAAAGTACTTCCACTGTTCTTTAATAGTTGCAACATTGTGATTTTTAAACTATTCACACACCTTAATTTGATCATGATTTTCTACTAATGTATATTATCAAATTATTATGTATAAATAAATATTAAAATTTTATTTATGTAAATTTCCAAAAAAATAAATTTTTATAATGTTTACTACGGAGTAATATGTAATTAAATGTAATTTGTGTGTTGGAAAACGTGAAAGTCAAACTGTTGTAAATAGTAGAACAAAAATATCTCACTAGCCTTCTAAATACCCCATCCAAACACACCCTTAAGGGAGTGACAAGTAAAATCAACAATGGCAACATGCTCCCAAGACAGTTCTTAGCGTTTAGGAAAATCTAGAAAGTAATTTATTAATTCCTTTTACAGAGCATCATCTATTAAAAGTTCTTTAAGTTGAGACTTGAGAACAAACACACCCAATGAATTTAGGCATATAATTCATAAAATTATTCACTACAAAATTGTTCAATGTGTAATGATAACTATTACTCAGTAATATAAATTCAGTTTCCAATAATTTACAAAAAAGTTTATTATGACAAATATTACTACTTACTAGTACATATCAACTCAATGTCTATCTATTAAGTACGGAGTACTAAACTAATGTGATACTTCGCAGTTCAGATCAACTCCATTTTTTAGAACTAAATACCACCATATCAAACATAATAGCTGAAATTCTTTACGCCTCTGGTCAGTGGAAAAGACACTAGTATGAGACATTTAGTAATAAACCTTTTATAGCAACAATTCACTTCATAGTTGCTGTCATCAAGCATTCAGAGTGCTATATACCAGCAAATAAGCAGTGTGAAGTATTCTATAGCAAGTTAACAGATATAAAATGAAAAGTTTCTAGAAAAGTAACGTGAGAAGATTTACAGATCAGTAATGGATTACCGCTTGGAAAAGTTGGAGTCTGCCGTGACGGTAATTTTGGTTTTATCTCGGGTGATGGTAACTGAGTCTCCTAGCGCTCCGGCCTTACCGCCGACCTTGATTCGCTCCTGGAGGAACTGCTCCAGAGAGGCGATATCCATGATTTTGTCATCCACCGGCTTCGAGCAGTCGATGACGAAGGTCACACCCTTCTTCTTCCCACCTTTAGTGGCGGCTCCGCTGCTTCCTTTACTCATTTTCTCCCTTTCCTGGGCCAACTGCTTCGCGTTTGATAGGGGAGCTAGGATTAGGTTTTTGAGCGGAAAGTATATAAACATACGAGTTTAAAGAAAAATGTCTCGGGCTTCTACGATACACAGTTAGCCCATTGGGTGGTAAACATCAAGACGGGGGGCCCAAAGTTGCTTAAGACTGGGCCATGACCTGGTAATAATCCTTAGGAGGTGTTTACTTCACTGCTAAAGTCACAGTTAGGTTAGTAAGACAGGTGAAGTAAACACGCACACTGCTTAAAAAGCCGCTTACTAACCGAAAGAGGTGCTTAAAGTGCCGCTTATTAAGCATACCACCCCCATGTATTAATTAAACGGCACTTTAAGCTTTTTCAATTTCCGAATTTACCCCTTGCCCTTAACCTATTGTTATCCCTGCCCCACCTCGACCCCAACCCCACCTACCCCGACCCCACCCTACCCTTACCCCACCCTACCCCGACCCCACCCCACCCCGACCCCACCTACCCTACCCCACCCCGACCCCCCCACCTCTACCCTACCTAACCGACCCCACCATACCCTTACCTACCCCGACCCCACCCTACCCCGACCCCACCCTACCCTTACCCCACCTACCCTTACCCCACCCTACCCCGACCCCACCCCACCTACCCTACCCCACCCCGACCCCCCGACCCCTACCCTACCTAACCGACCCCCACCATACCCTTACCTACCCCCGACCCCCACCCTACCCTTACCCCACCTACCCTGACCCCACCCTACCCCGACCCCACCCCACCTACCCTACCCCACCCAGACCCCCCACCCCTACCCTACCTAACCGACCCCACCATACCCTTACCTACCCCGACCCTACCCTACCTACCCTACCCCCACCCTACCCTTACCCCACCTACACTACCCTACCCCGACCCCACCCCACCTACCCTACCCCACCCCCCTACCCCACCCGACCCCCCCACCCCTACCCTACCTAACCGACCCCCCACCATACCCTTACCTACCCCGACCCCACCCCTACCCTGCCCCAACCCTACCCCATCCTACCCCTACCCGACCCCACCCTACCACTACCCTACCTACCCAATCCCACCCCTACCCTACTTACCCTACCTACCCCACCCCTTACCCACATACCCGACCCCACCCTACCCTATCCGACCCTACCCCTACCCTACCTCCTACCCCGCCTCACCCCCACCCTACCTACCCGAACCCACCCTACCACTACCCTACCTACCCAACCCCACCCCTACCCTACCTACCCGACCCATCTACCACTACCTGACCTCAATCACCCCATCCTATACCCCTTACCCCACCCCTTACCCCACTATACCTAGGGTGGTGGGGTCAGGGTGTGGCCGATGTGATAGAGGCGCTAGGGGCAGGGTAGGTGTGGTGGGGTAGGGGGTGGGTTGGGTAGGGTAGGGGTAGGGGCGGGTTTGGGGTAAGGTAGGGTAAGGTGGGGTCAGGGTGGGGTCGATGTGGTAAGGGCCTATGGGGGTAGGGGCCTATGGGGTCGGGGGTAGCCGGGTAGGGTTGCGGTAGGGTGGGGACAGGTTAGGGTGGGGTCGGGTAGGGGTAGGGTCGGGTAGGTAGGGTAGGGGTAGGGGTGGGGGTGGGCGGTGGGTGGGGTCGGGGTAAGGTAGGGTGGGTAAGGGGTTAGGGGTATGGGTACACATATTATATTATATACTTGTGTTCATGAATGTTTGTGTGTATATATATGTATAGGGTTATTTTGGACATTTTAATGTTAAGCGGTGTTTTAAACCGTTTGAAGTAAACACGGTCTTACAACATTGTTTATTTTATGCGCCGCTTATTAACACGGGTCTTAATAAGCACCGTTTAATAATCGGTGAAGTAAACATGTCCTTAGAGTAATTCTATTCACAACCACGCTAAGCCCAACACAACCTCCCGGAATTCTAGTCTCCTGCGACACCGTCTTCTCTACCATGGTGGATAGCAAGATTTGGACTGTCAATTGCCCAAATCTTGAGCAACAGAAAGATGAACTGAAATTACTTGCAAATTGCAATATCTTTGTTAACTTGAATGGATTTCCTAAGCTAATGGATATGTACATAGTTGACAAAATCAAAGGATGGAGAAGCCCACTGCAATTGTTGTCAGCTCTGCTCCACCTTCCGCTTATCATACACCATTTTGCATATCATTTTCCAGAATTTGCACAGTCAACTTAGCTTATCATTGAAATTATTTTTAGTGCTACTCAAATCTGAGCTTTTTAGCGGTTGCAGGTTGATTCAGCAGGAAGCGTAATGAATGGCGAGGGTTGTTCGTTGACGTCGTTAGTGGCGGCCAACGATATCGCGACGGCGGATTCTAACTGCATAATTTTTGGAAAATACAAGCTGGGGAAGGTGCTTGGTTGTGGGGCTTTTGCAAAGCTGCTTCGAAGGTCCTTGCCACGAAGAAATAGATCTATTTACTGGGGAGGTTGTGAGCTGCGGATTATTGTATTAAGAACATAAGAGGAATTATAAAAAATATGTGGTTGTACCTAGTAAATACTGAGTAAGTGGCTGTGAATAGAATCTCCCTAATCCTTAGAAGAAAATGGATTTAAAAAAGTAATTATATTCACAGTCCCCATTTTGCTATTCATAGCATCCAATTAATTATTAATTAATAGAAAGATATCATTAAGAAATAGTTTGACCCTTCATATTTATACACTAAAATAGTATCATAAATTTATAATAATTCTCCACAGTTTGTTTATTAATTCTATATACAGCTATCAAATTAAATATTACAAATCATGTTTTTTAAAATATCTAATGTGCATATTAAGTAATAGAAATAATTACATTTTTATAACTAAAATAAAGATTATTTACACAAATGTGACCAGTGATTAGAGTAGTTATGAAATAATAGTGACTTATGTTCAAGTTTGAAATTGTTATCATGATACTAGAATGTAGTAACTATTAGTCATATTTGTGTAGATAAATTTTATTTTAGTAATATTTTTCAAAAAATCTCTAAGTAATAAAGTACATTCTTTCGCTACACTCAACACATATCCAATATTTAATATATTTAATATACTCACATTTGTGATCTTTTTTAACAACGATTTTTTTATACTTTTCATTAATATATTAATTGATTGAAGGAGTGATTAATTAATATTAAGATTGTGATAACATTGACATATAATTTATATAAAACAATTATTTTCGGTTAGAATTTGTAAAAAATCCCCATATTTTATGATTTTATACATTACTTATGTATTTTTTTAGATGGATGAAAAAATGATATATATTAATATATATTATATGGTTGGAGACTTATAACAAAAAAAATATGATTGATGATTTAAATGATTAATATTAATATAAAATGTAGTGATTATTAAAAAAGTGTGGAACAATATAAATTTATAATAATATTTGAGTCTATTAATATGAAGGGTTAAATTATTTTTAATGAAGTATTTTTATTAATAATTAATCAATGACTATGAATAGCAAATTGGGGGCTATGAATAGAATTACCCTTAAAATATTACCTTACACATTTCTTGAACAACGAAACGACCAAGAATAGGTTTGGAGATTGGGGAGCAATTAAAAAATATTATTATTACTAAATGTTTTTCTACCTAAAATGTATTAGTATGTTACAAATATAAATAGATATACCTTTATTTGAATATTTATTTAAGAAATTAAAAACATTACTTACCATCAAAGTTAGTTTTTATCAAAAAAAGTTATTTGTTTTAGTTAAATGTTCAAATTCGATCTAATACTGCTCCGAACTGGTCTCACTTGAAATAATCCGGTCAGGTCCTAGACCGAGATTAAGGGAGTGTTTGCAATAGTTTAAAAAAAGAACTTCTCAGCTTTTGTGTGAAAAGTGCTTTTCCCTTTTCTATTACACAAAAAGCACTTATCTTATCAAACACTATCAACTTTTACTTTTCAAAATCACTTTTTTCTCAAACACTATCAACTTTTACTACTAATCACTTTTTCATTACATCTCCAAAAGTGCTTTTTTTAAGCAGAAGCATTTGCAAACACTCCCTAAATAGCTCCGGTCTCTAATCCAATAAATTTGGAAATTTCAGTTCTGATCAATTCGTTTCTAGTTCAATCCAGCTATCTTGGGTCAGCGCTTACCCCGAGCTACGAATATATTCATTTTATGTGGTATAACTAGTTTTACAACGCGCGATGCGGGTGTGGGATAATGCCCAATAATGTGTGATGTGTACATTGAACGCAATAGGAAAGTGAATCCAAAAGGACCATATTTCAAGCTCTCAACAAGCTCTGTAGCAATCACTTTTCATTGACAAACCCTTTAGTTTTATACATTTTTATGATTTTCTATCACTTGGAATTTTAAAATCTTCCTTATATATGTCTCAATACGAAAGAGAAAATTCTAAAATTTGATTTATTGAGATTCATTATAACATACTCTTTTAACCTCTAGCATATCTGGTTATTTTACTCTAAAGAGAGATTCCGGGTTCAATTCTCAATGGAGTGAGATTGATCCAAGTTTACCCCAGGCTCCCCAAACCCCCTCCCCCTGACGCCCCCTAGGGTAATTAAATGTGAGATGGTTAACGGTAAGACACTCAAGTTGGTTGTCAAACCGTTTAGATTTGTGCGGGCTAGTGTGATTCGAGTGGATATTTCCCTTCGACTTACGGACGATTTGGATAAAAAGGGCTTAACTTTCACCGCAAGATGTCTAGAGGGATTACCGGCAGTTACAAAGAAGAAAGGGGAGGTTTGTTTTGATGCTAAATTCACTACTCCTTTCCGGGCTTTCTTTGGATGTTTAGATTAGGAACTTGTTGAAGCTAGTTTTTGTTTGATTTCATTGGCCCAAATCTTGGATTTGAGAGACTATGAGCTTTTGATTTTGTGATATCCCGCGCATTGGGATATGCACTTTGATTGTATAACATTAATTTGTGAGGTGGGGTCTGTCCCATTATTTTGATGCATTATATCTAGGTTAGTTTATTCTAGCTTAGATAGTCATTTTGATTTGGATTTGATGCATTGTAAAATGCTATTTTTTTCGATTTCTAA